AAGAATGATTTCAATAAGCAATAATCAAACATGGCCGTAAAGCAATTTACACATCTAAAAATTGTCAGACGAAACGGCTAGCAACTGTCATTCTAAAGACCTTTCCGGTTAGTCGTACCTTTATTCACTGCTGGCAGAACGTTGGCAAAATGCTCGCTGAAGTTAATTCAAATTTGAAAATTCCCGCGCATTCGACCTGCTAGTGAACCAACGTACGCAAAACGGGTGGACAACTCTACCACAGCGCTGGAAGACTTTTCCATGTTTCAGGGATTGACTTATATACATTCTTCAGGAAATTCTAAAAACAAGCCAACCAAGTATGTTACTTTAAGTAAGGACCGTCAGTAGTTTTTTTTTTGTCTGGGTGTTGGCCATTTCTTGCACTAGATCACGTTTATTACGTCCCCAAAAGACTTTTTGTCCTTTTAGAGTGCAAATTCAGCTCAGTCTTTTAAGGATTTTCGTAACAAGCTATCCAAGCATGCTTGTTCAATTACAGATCACAAACCGCTTTTAGATTCACTAGTTGTTCTTTACGAGTCCAGGATTTTTGACATTGAAGATGAGACGGACGCCTTTGGTTAGAAACAATCGCACCTCCGCAAACAGGTTATTTGTGTTTTTTAACATACTTATTTCTGTATCAAAAATATTGGAACGAGTGTTCTAACAGATCATAATTCCCAGCGGTGAGTTTCAAAAAAATCTCAACAAAGTCCGGTCCCCAACTTCTTGTCCTCACGGTCAACGCTTTTTCATTTCCAAAGTGACAGGTGATACACAAAACTGGTGTCATCCTCACGTTTTACTCGTCAGATTCTGTGATTTTCCTGCGCCTTTTCAAAGTTGCAAAGAAGTCTCTGACACTTATCGAAATGGTTCCGGAAAGTGATGTCAGTTTATCGTACTTGCAATTTCTATGTTCTTGTCTGCACCAACAGTCAAGATGTAGAGAAATCAAAGGCCTTTGTAGGTGTACTAAAAGCAAAGTTGCAATAGTTTTTCTTCAATTTAGGGAATTTGTCGGCTAACTACAGCAGGTACTAACTTTTTTCATGACTTCTATTACCGCTTACTTTTGTAATTCGCACTTTCTTTACCGTGATTTTAGAAGCCACTCTTTTATTGTTTTTTTTTCCCAAATCTAAATTTTCTAAATCTTTATCAGTAATCATCTGTTTTGTTGACACAACACAATTTTATCAGAAATTATCATAAAGTTTTGTGCAAGAAACATTTCTTTCCTCCAATGTTATTGATCGGTCTTAATTGCTGTATCAAATGCTGATTTAGAGAAGCTAGGAAATTTTATATGCTTATTTTTGAAGCATTTGACTTGACTTTTTACTCTAAACTAGAACAAATTTTATAAATTTGAGTAACGATAAAAACTTTGTTTTCTCCCATTAGTTTGTTAATTATTGTCGAAAGACTTCCAATACTAGATTCCGAGCAGCTTACTATTTGAGTAGTAAAACTGTTTTTTTACTGTCCCCTACTCTAAACTTTTAAGAAAGGTAGTAAGACTATTCCAAAACGGAACTTTATCACAGAACGCTGTTTCAGGTGTCATAATCCCAAACAACACAGTAAAGAAAAGACAGAAATAAACCTAAAATTGTGAAACGTCGACGTTTTTCATAATTTTTGGCAGTTACTGAATAAGAAAAAAATGTAAAAACGTTGTGTACAATATCTAAAAGTATTTTTTGCTTATCATATTTGTTCCTGTATAATTATAAAAATTTTTGTTAATTAGAGTGTGGCAAAACCTTTAGACCAGTCTAGTGTCTCAGACCTTTATCTTTAATTTACTGAATTATTCAAGGGCAATGCAATACTGGTAAATAAGGAATAAACATTTTTTTTTCAGATTGTATCTTAGCTCTAAGTAGAATTTGTGCACGAAGAAAGATAAAAACGACGCTCGATATTAGTAATCAAAATCAATAATTGTTGACAAAAGCGATTAAAATTGGTTGACATTAAAACTGAGTTATTACAAAAGCAAAAATTATTATGTTTCTCAAAAATTTTCATTTACTGTTCTAAGGTTTTCAGTGTCTACCGTCAATTAATTTTTTTGTGACAAGACAAAAACGTTTTGTTCTTGACACATGGTTTCTCACAGCGCTTTATCAAATTTATTCTCAAAAAAAACAGACAATTGCCACATTTTTTTAAAACTTTGTTTTCCTTAATCTTTTTTTTACGACTGACAGTTTTCTAAACGGTTTTTCTTTTCTGTTAGTGCTGCTGCAATCTGACAGCAAAAGTAAAGGTTAAAGTACTATGTTAAACTATTAGTAAGTGATTTAAAATGGTTTTTGGCAGTTTGAAATGTGTTTTTTCCTTGCTTTTTTAAACTATACTTCTCCTGAGTTTTGTGTATTTAAGCCACTAACTTTTTTCACGTTATTTTAGTGAACGTTATATATTCATCTGAGAAAAAAAAACGGTTTGGTCATATTGTCACAAGTGTTTCTTTTTTTTTTTTTTTCGTTGACGGTGTATAAAAACTTTAATTTTATTCCAAGTTAATAAATCTATTAAAATCACCTCAAAACGCATGGTTCTTGCGTCTTTTTTGTATAAGTGTTATCTGCATTTGGTAGAAGAAAGTTTTAGATAGAAAAAATAATTTGGTGTTACAAAAACCAATTCTCCTTTGAAAGTTGTTTTTTTTTTTTTTTTTTAATGCAAATGATTGAAGATCAAATAGAGTCTTCGATTTTTACCAAAAAAATTGGTAAATTTTTTTTGGCTAGTTAAGATAAAAATGTAAAAAGTTAAGGTTCTTGTTACATAGATTAATTACTTACTTAATTTATAGTGTTTTAGCATTTAATATGTCTCAAGAATTTTCAGCTTACTTCTTTTACTTTCAAGCGTCGTTTATCAACTGAATAGCAGTCAACTGTTGTACTTTCTGATTTACTGCAGCTTTAGATGTACTTCAATGTGAAATGCTCAAAACAGTTCAATCAACAGTTAACTGTCAACTTCACCTGTTTCGTTACTTTGTTAAGTACAGTTGTTCTGTTTAAAAGTATTATAAAAAGTATTTTTCAAGTAAAATTCAATTTTTCAATTTATTATTACGGTTGTATCATTGTCTATTCATGATTTTTGTTCGAAAAAAAAGAAGGAAAAGATGTATGCGCATTGAGAAAGTAGAAAAATAATGAAAAACTTGAACTGAATAACAGTGAAAACTATACTTCTGATAAGTACCTGTATTAATTATATCAAAAAAGGTGTAATTAATAACTTCAATATACATTTGAACTGATAGACAGATAAGCAATTAAAGAGTGTTAAAAAGTATTGCAATGTTTTTTGAAAGCAAGAAGCTTAATTTCTTTCTATTTGGAACAGCCATAAAATATTTTTGCTTTCTAAGCAGAGCTTTTTAAAAAAATAATGTTTAGAAATTTTTTGGCTTATATAAAGAAATATCAACGTTATGAGAATCAACTATTACACCTGTAGCCAAAAAACTTTCTGCATAGTAACCAAATGATTTTTGTAGCCATCAATAGTACAACAAATAATCGAACTTCAGAAACTCATCTATGGAACCTACAATTTCATTGCTTACCGATAGTAATCATAACTCTGTAAGCATAAGAGGAGCTAAACAGAATTCAGCAAACTAGTTATCTTGATGCTGCTGTACCGTTCTGGTCACAGACTCCACAAGTTAGCGGACAGCGTTTAGAAATTGATTCTCTAAAATTTTCAAACTTTTACGTGGGTTAATTTTGTAACAGTTTTTTTTATTGATGACAACCTGACAATTACAGTTTTACTAACTAGTAGAAAAAACATGATTAAAGGTCAATCAAAACTGAGTAACTGTCTGTTTTCACATACCTGTGTTTTGGGTTGTTGCATAAAGATTTTACTATTGGCGCTTTACAGGCAAGATCAACATCTTCGCACTGTATTTTTGGTAGTTTAGGTGCTAAAAATTTTTTTTTCTTATTATCAGAAAAACACAGTTTTATCGAAATAGACAGAAAATCTTGCAAATTGTACAACAGATTTGGTGTTCCAAGCCTTATCCTTTTTTTTTGCAATAGTGAACTTATGGAGATCTTTGATTTTGTAAACAGAAAAAAGGCAACTGAATAAATCAGAAATGCAAAAATGAAAGTAAGACACAAAAAATATTACTATGTCCTTTACATTTACCCAGTCGAGCCAATTTCTCGATATCAGATAAAGACAGTACCAAATTTTCAGCTAATACCACTCCTTTCTACAATATACTAGATTCAAAAAAGTGGTTGCAGCAGAATCTATATCAGTAAATATTAATATTATGATTCTTAAATATCACTGTACCAACTAAGTATGGAAATAAGATTAGAAACTAAATTGGTAATTTATTAAAAAAATCTTAAGGTAAGTTTTTCTGTTGTCATACGTAGCGTTTTAAAAAAAGAATGATAAATTTTGGAAGAATATAATTTTTTTACAGAATTAAGAACATCTAGTGGAAAGGTCTCATTGATCAATCTTACATTGAACATTTCAGGACAAGTGTAAAACAGAAAGCTAAAAAAGGCATGAAAAATCGTCCACCTTTCGTGGAATCATTGTAATCATTCTTCTTTGATTTCTAGCATCATATTTCCCAAATGCTGTAGCTTCATAATGCATAATGGATTTGTAATCATATCCAAGACCAAATGTCAACATACTGCCTTTCCACATCTTTTCAAAATTAACTGCAATAAGATTCTCTTTATTATAAAGTGCAGAAAAGACAAACGTAACGGGTAAAAGTTAAAAAATTGTTGTGTAAATTTGTTCAGTAAAAATTTCACATTGCGACAGTATTCCAACTTTCAAAGAGTTTCGAAGTGTTATGTTCGAACACATTTGATTAATAGTTTCTAATTTAGTAGTAAAACACTGTCAAGAAATTATTTTTTGGAGTTTTAAAGTGTGAAAGTAAAACCTAGCCGAGAAGAACTACTTATGACTAACAGATACTCAACAGAAGCAAAGATAAAGACTTAAGACAAAATGTATCCTCTATCAAAATCACTTTTCTATTAAATTATCCAATTTATATATAATGAAAAACATAAAAATCAACTGTTTCAAAAACTTACTCATTTGTTCCGGCATAACATTTTTATAGATGACTGTGATGTATTCATCTCGATCCGGTCGCTGGTGTTCATGATCTAATCCTAATGCATGCATCATTTCATGCCAGATTACATATTTG